TTCAGTGAGTAATCAAAAATATTTTTCAAAGTTTATTAAGCAATCGAAATGTGACAATTTGTTAACAACGTTATAAGGTGCCACGTGTGTATTTTATTAGCCACATCACTAATTCCGTTAAAAATTTGAAACGGATGTTATGTCAGTGAGCAAAGTCCAACATTTGGATAAATTTAATAATCAAAACTCGACATCTTAAATTTCATTCAGCAATTGAAGGCGCAGATGTAAGTTCAATGACAATTGAAGAAATTGATGAACAGTGTAATTCTATTACTAATGCCTTATTTGGCCCTTATTATAATGAAAATTTAAAAAAATATATATATGTATTTTTGAATAGTAATTTTTTGAAATATGTGGTTAAAAAGAAAAAAAATGGAGCTACATATAATATTATTTTATTGAAAAATATATAATTGATAAGAAGAGAAAAAATGAATTATAATTTTAAGGGATAATTGAAGCTGAGGCCCCAAACCTTTCAAAAGTTGCAGGTTTTCCACTAATCTTTCATTTGTTGCAGCCATTACCCCAAATCTTTTAAAACGTTGCGAATGAAGCCCCCAACGGATGGATTCCATTGACATTTCTTTTAGTTGACCAAAAAATTGGACTTTGACTACATTTTAATCAATTATAAAATGACAAAATGATAACTTTATATTTTTTTTTTTACATTAAAAACATTAAATAAAAAACAACATAAAAAGATGAAGAAATAAAATGAAAACGAAAAAGATTTTCTTCTCCCTCACCTCTACTTCCACCCCAACCCCTCAACCCAAAACCAGAAATCCACCGTCACCACCACTTGTCTCCTTTCCATTTTCTCTACTTCTCTCTCTCTCTCTCTCTAAATCCCTAGCTCTCCATACCCATTTAAAGTTGAGCATGAACATATCTCAATTTGGCAACCAATGTACCTTTTTTCTTTAAAAATTTTCAGAAATCTAATAGAAAAATGTGGTGTATTTTTTTTTTTTTGTTTTGTTTTTTTTTTTTTTTTTTTTTTTTTTTTTTTTTTTTTTTTTTTTTTTTTTTGGAAATAGCAGTAGAATGTGTAGTAAAAATGTTTTTTGGTCCAAGAATAGATGAGTGTGAACATTGATAAATCTACAAATGGGTATTTACAAAGCAACCCACTTTGATTTTTTCAATAAATTCAAACATTGAAAGCCATTAGAGCCTTTACCTGGTGTTCTTGGTTGTTCTTTTTCAGTCTTCGCTTTTTATACTCTCTTTGCTTTTAGTGAAGAATTTGGTGGAGGACTTGATATATATAAGGGAAATTGGGTATGCGATGATAAAAATTATCCACTTTACCAATCTAAAAATTGTATGTTCTTGAATGAGGGATTTCGATGCTCTGAAAATGGTAGCCTGATAATTTCTGGTTTTTGGTTGAAAGAGTGGGGTAGGAGCGTGGGAGAAGAAGATATTTTTTCTTTTCATTTTATTTCTTCTTCATTTTTGTTACTTATTTAAGGTTTTAAATGTGAAAAATATAAAGTTATCATTTTGTTATTTTATAATTGATTAAAATGTGGTACAAGTCCAATTTTTTGATCAACTAACAGAAATATGGATGGAATCTGTCATTGGGGCTTCATCTGCAAAGTTTTGAAAGGTTTGGAGTGTTGGCTGCAACAATTGAAAGGCTAGAAAAAAGTCTGCAACTTTTTAAAAGGTTTAAGGCCTCACTTGCAATTATTCCTATTTTTAATGGGGACAAACTAGGGCTAAGCAAAATTGTTCATTGCTACCTAGATTTTTTTTGTCTAAATTTTGTCGTTTCACTTTCTTGCTTCTTCTGCACACGTCTTCGATTTGTGTAACTTATGAATCAAGTTGATGGTTGATTCATTGTGATTATAAAAGAATAAAACCAAATGTTGCTTTTTTGTTTCTCTATTCTGAGATTCAAAATTAATTATATTTTAACTGGATTGTTCAAGTTAACATTGTTTTGAGTAAAAATGTTGTCCCCCACCAATGATCATGTTATTCGTCATCCAACACGAGAGATACCGTGTCGATAATGTGATATGGAGGAAAGTTTTACGAATAATCTTACATTTATAAAATTGTATATTTTTTTTCTTATTTTTATGATATGATATTGTCAATTGTTAATTTTTTTCTCAATTTTATAATGAAAAAAGGACATTCCTCCGGTGTAGGTAGACCAAGATCCTATTAGATGGTAATGTTATCGATTGCTCAATTTTTCAATAATATGGTTGGTGTGTGCATGTGCCTACGTTACAACAAATAAATTAATATAGTTAAATCTTTTTATTACATGAATATTATTTTTCTTACATTTGTTCTATTCCTACGCTTGTATGAAGGACCCAATTTTGAACAATTTAAGCCCTATTTTCTAAAAATTATTTTTCTTGAAATTCATTTTTAACCACACATTTTTCTTATAAAATAATTTAGCGTGTGAACTCAATTTTTTCTATTTTTTAACCACACATTCCCCCCAAAAAATCACCATTACAAAATCTATTATCCCAAAAAATCTATTAATGATCAACATAAATTTTTGAAAGCAATGTATATTTATTACTCTATTTAAAGACAATTCAATAAATTAATTTTTTTTAACACAAGAAAACTGCATTATTATTCTTGAATTATTATTTTTGTTAGTTACTTGTCAGTAATATAATTTTTATTGTTATTATTATATTTAACAATAATTTTCAGGTATAACTTAAATTTATTAAAATAAGCTTTTTGCTTATTAGAGTGAAAAAAATATTACATTAGGTGAATTATTTAAAATGCAATTTCTAAACAGACGTGAAAGGTATCAGACTATGAATTTTGAACAAAAAGAGGACATTTATATAATAATTATTATTATTCCTTTTTTTTTTTTCTTTTTTTGTTATCATCGTTGGTGTTCACACTAAGCCCCTGTTTGATCCCCATTACATTAAATTCTATTACATTTCATTTTTCTCTCTCCTATTTTCAACCACACAATCTTCCATAAAATAATATTATACGTAAATCGAAAACTTTTCATTCTTTTTCAACCACTCATTTTTCAAAAAAGCACTATTCCCCTCATTAATTTTCCTACGTAATGGGAATCAAATAGGGGCTAATTTACGCACACTTCGACTAATATCACGAGATTCTGAAATTTCCAGCCGGGTACTCACCTCAGTGGTTCTGAGGAAATTCGAACGGGTAACCATTGAAAAATAAACTCAATGCCTAATTACTAAACTATCCTTCAAGATTCAATTATTGTAATTATAATTGAACATGTTTTCATCGTAATCATCGAGCTCACTTGCCCGATTGAAGATAACTCTGCAATTTCTACCCAATCACGTGTTCCCAAAGGACCGCCAGTTCAACACCACGCAACTAACCCAACCAACATTTCGTGCGACGTCGTATTAATAAATTATTATCAAAGTGGCCAAATAGTTTTTTAGATTTTTATTTTACATGTATAAAATATCTATGTTGATATTTTTTTATACTTAATTTTTATATATCTTTTATCCTTAAAATAATAATTAAATTTTTGTAGTAAAGCTTAGTGCAGTTTGATTCCCAGTAATTGGAAAGAAAATGAGTTTTGATTAGTATGTTAAGAGAACGTATAATTAAAAAGTAAAAAAAAAACTTTTGGAAGAATATGTAAAATATTTTATTGTGTAAATATGTAATTGAAAATAATTCAGTAACCATAAAATAAATTAATGAAAATCAAACAGGCCCTTAGGCAATTTATTAAAATCTATATAATCGAATGTAGTTTAAGGGGCTGTTTGGGCCAGATTTTTTCACCCAAAAAATTGATTTTTTGACCGTTATTTTACTATTCCAGCCATCATATTTGACTACATCATATTTGACTTCTTCTCTCACAGGTGGACCCCACTTTTCTCCTAACAGTCAAAAAATCAATTCTCAAAATCACTTCCAAACAGACTGTAAATGAAAGTGGTAGCGTTAATGGACAATGCATTTAGTCCCTATTGTTTAAATAAAAGTCAATTTTTTGGTAAATTGATATATAACATATGATTGAAAAATTATAAATTTCATTAAATATGTGTTACAATTAATTATTTACTTTACGATTTCAAAATCCAATAATCTATCCTTAAATTGTTAACAAATTCGTAATTTTTATTTTTATTTTTATAATTACTCTTATTGACAGTTTATCTTGAAAGAGAAATTCACTCACCATAATTTTCCATTTTATTGTTTAAAAATTAATTTATGCATTAACTATATTGCAGTAAACCCAAATCTCGAAGACAGACAGCTAGTAATAAAGTTCAACACTGGTGTTTCTTGATTAAATTTCTATAAGCAGAGGAACATAATCTAATCAAAATGTATGGAGATTTTTAGCAATTAATTTTCATTTTCCAAGAAAGAAAATATATAAATAATTCGTAAATGCAGGAGATTATTGTGGTCCACTGTTCCACTGTCAAACTCACCATGATCTTAACAAATCTAAGACAGCGGACATCAATGGTAACCTACCTACGCCCACCCCGACTCTCTCTATATATATAGGCTTCTGTCAAAAGGGGGCATCATCTCTTCCTAAAAATCTCCGCCATAGTTTTACTGTCCATTGCCGGTAAGTATCCGCTGTTTTTGCTTCTTTTTGTACACACCCCTCAATTTTCTGCACCTCTTCTTTTTATCTTTATATTTACTTTTGATCTCTTTCAATTTTACCCTTCTACTGAATCCTTGGTTTTTGTAATTTCCGTCAACAAAACTATTATGGGTTGACTTTATGTTGGTGGATTCTCGGTGTGAAGATTTTATCTTTATTATTTGTATGAATTGCATTTTCTTTAGGCTTTTTTTTCCTGGTTACATTGAATTTACTGCATGTGTTCTATGTATATGCAAGTCCATTTTTTTATTTTTTATTTTGGGATGAATTGCTGTTAAATATTTTAATTCCGGCGAGTTGATTTTATTTTATATATTTTTGTTATTTCTTATGCTCATGAATACGACTATACTAGGCATTTTTACAAGGACTTGCTCATGAAAATTAGGAAAAGATGAATCTTTGTTGCATTGCTTGGTTTGAACTCCTTGGTTGGGTTTGAAATTGTGATTGAAGAGGAAAAAAACAAGTAGAATAAGCGTGTTTGGCTAAACTTTCCCCAAAAGGTTTGGATAAGTACTTATTTTTTGTAAAGTTGTTTCACTTGCTGTAATAAGTAACTTAGTTTCAGTTTAAGCTTAGCAAAACTTGCTGGTCTAACTGATTGTTTAATAAATAGGCTAATTTCTGAGAAAACTGGAAGTTAGTTTTGAAATTTTAAATGTGTTTAATAGGAATTTTTTGTTTTGTTTCCAGAGAATTATTTTTCTTGCTGCTAGATTGTTTCCTCACCACAACGGATATTATTTTGTAATAATTCCATGATGTATTTACTGTTTTCTTCTTCAGGATTCGTGATTCTTTAAGGCACTTGTTGGGCTAGAATTTATTGATAATCATGGAGACAGAGATTGTGGAATCTAAATTGTCCATTACAGTGGAAACTGATAAGGTCTCTGTGGAGAAGGGAAATCTGAACATAAAATTTGGTTCTCAGTCGCTAGACGAGCCATCTGAAGGCGAAGTTAATAAAGCGCATGAGGCTAACCTGCCCAGCGGTGCACTCGACGAGTGGCCTGCACCCAAGCAGATCCACTCTTTCTACATTTTTAAGTATCGGTTGTCTGACGACCCGAATCTGAAGGTCAAATTTGATCTGGCTGAAAATGAGCTAAAGAAAAAGAATCTGGCCCGCTCTCAGATTACCGATAAATTAAGGGTGAAAAGGGTAAGTTATGTGGCAAATTCCGTTCTGGTCAGTGGCGAAGCACTTCTTATGTAATAGCAATTGACTTGTGTAAAGTTTATAATTGTAAGTTGTAGTCATGTACACAACACAACTTTTCACAAGAGTTGCTGCAAAACAAACATAAGCATGTTTGGAAAGTTTTTATAAACAGTTTATTTTATAAATAGATAAATATGATTAGGGAATAAGTGGGTAATACTTGTGAATCTCTCAAAATGTGTAGATAATAAGTGACTTGAGTGTTTATAAAACACTTATTTCAAAATCAATCTCCGATTCATTGGGTCTTGAATTTAGATTAAGAACAGTGTAATCATGGAGGATGCTAAGAAGAAGTGCTAAAGAAGAATTTGGGTTGACTGAAGATGGTTAGTTAATAAGTCAAGTGTAGAAGTTTTCTGAGAATGCAGATTATGTGATTACCAAGTGACATGGAGAGTGTTTTGCAGGCAGATCGGGCCCAGGTAATTGCTCAAATAAGGTCTCTAAGTGTCGAGAAAAGACATTTTAGGACGATCATGGATGAGAAGAGAAAAGAAATGGAACCTCTGCAGCAGGCTTTGGGCAAGTTGCGACGTGCCACTAGCGGAGGCAGAGAGAGGGGTTTGACTATTTGTTCATCTGAAGAAGAGCTCAATAATCTTGTAAGTACACACACACAAATTCTTCTTAATTTCTCAAAATGCGTGTCACTTAATACTTTCCTTTTGTTATTGAAATTGATTAGATAAAGAGTTTGCAATACCGCATTCAGCACGAAAGCATTCCTCTTAGTGAAGAGAAACAAATCCTCAGGGAACTTAAACAACTAGAAGTGACAAGGGAAAAAGTTATTTCAAATGCTGCCGAGAGGGCGAGGATTCAAGACAACCTCGGTGAAAAAGGTGCCATTCAGGATCATGTCAAAGTATGTCGCCTTTTATGTAAAATGTCTAAATTTGGTTTCACTAGCACTGCTAGCTATTTTAGCATCTTTTAACGGTAATTGTGCTCATAATCCGTGATTGTAGCTTATAGGTGTTGATCTTGATGGAGTTCGAAAAGAACAGGAAGTGGTCAAGGCGAAGCTTAAGCAGCTGGATGAAAAAAAAGAGGCTATAGAGAAAGAGATCAATGCTTTGCAAGAGGAGTTGACAGTAGTTGCACAGAATAGAGACAAAACTTTTGGAAGCATTCAGGAACTGAAGAAACAACGTGAACACGGGGTATGCTTCTTCTCATCTTTAATTATGGCAATTCAGTTAAAGGTCTTTACAAAATCGATCCACTTTACTTGCAGAATTCCCCTTTTTATCAAAACCGCATGCTCTTGGTCAAAGCCAAAGAATTAGCAGCAAATAATGATATTGAAGCCCTGAAGAAGCTTTCTGTTACAGAGGTTTAGTGGATAGTTTCCGTTACCGACTTTCCAATCACTATAATAATTTTACAGAGTTGTCTGATGGTATCTTACCTCCTCACTGTTCTAGGTCGAGAAATTCATGTCACTCTGGAGTAGTAATAAAGATTTCCGGGATGACTACGAGAGGAGAGTTTTGCAGTCACTTGACATGAGGCAGCTGAGTCATGATGGCCGTATGAGGAATCCAGACGAGAAGCCGCGGTTGCTGGTTAAGGTGCCAACTCCATCTGAAACCGAGGTTGTCCTAAAAACAAGTGTGAAACAACCCCAAAAGGAGGATCTCATTCTCCCGGGACAAAGTGATGCTTCTTCCACGAAGAAAGTTCAGAAGGAAAAGAATGCTAAAAACGAGAAAGAAGCAAATAAGAAAACGGAAAGCGCCATGGAAAAAATGGATATGGAAGTTAGAGAAGTCTCGAGGACAGAAAAATTGCAAGAGGATTCTGACCCCAAGAGGAATGAAGTTGATGAGGCAAAGTTGAAGGAGATGAAGAGAGATGAAGAGATGGGTAAGGCCAAGCTAGCAATGGAAAGAAAGAAGAAGTTGGCAGAGAAAGCCGCTGCTAAAGCGGAAATAAAAGCTCGGAAAAAGGCTGAAAAGAAGCTCAAGGAAATTACTTTGTTGATTAACATTTTTTAATCTTTTTCGTGTTAGCATTTTCGTATTAGCTCTAAAGTTGTTTAGCTTTTAATTCATTTCAGGAGCAAGAGAAGAGAGCAAAGAAGAAGGCTGGTGCTTTTATTTCTGCTCAGGTCTCCGAGGAATTACCAAATGAAGCAGATAAAGAGGCTGTTGTATCCAATAAGGTAGATGAAGCAGTTGAAACTCCTCCACCCAAAAACAAGGATCGGAAAGAACGCCCAATCAGACACAGACCACGACCAAGAGGTTCGGATTCACTGCATAAAGTTGTGCTGAAACGCAAGAAGACAACAAAATATTGGGTATGGGCTGCTCCTGCTGCCTTGGTGGTTCTTGTACTCCTTGTTTTTGGTTACAGCTACCTTAGCTAAGATTGTAAACTAGATAGAATCATGAGGGAAGCTTGTCATTTTGATGATAATGAGTGGCATGGTCTCTATAAAAAATGGACAGACCCGAAACACTCAGTGGATGTTTTGTACGAACTATAAAACGAACATGATTTTATCATATCCACATTACCTCTACTCATTTACAGCATTGTGCAAGACATCAGTGTAAGTACCCCGGCAGCAATGCTCTCTCAGCTTACACTTGCGTCCGCACCGCCCATGGTTGTTCCGGACGTCCCTGAGAACATTCCGGCAATGCTTCTTGAAGCAATAAAGAAGGCTTATTCCATTATTAGCCCTTATCCCTTTGCATACGCGTTACATGAAGAACCGGCTTCTTAATTGCGTGGGAGAAAGCGGTGCATCAATATTGAAGAACAAGTCCAAGAAAGTTCAAATACCATTGATGCAGTTCCTGAAATATAGGAATCAAATAATGGAAGATCCTTTCAACAACCTTCTGTTTGTATTTGAATTTAAAATAGCAAAGTTATAGGATTGGATTAGGTATTTCTATTTTACTGAACTTGTATAAATAGCACTCATGTATATGTATGTGATAATGAGAAAAATAAATTCTTTTACATGGTATCAGAGCAAGCCACTAGACTAACGTCTTCTTCAAAATGTCTTCTCCCTCCTCCAATATATCTGATGCATCATCGGCTGATGTTCCTGCCATCATCACTCCACCCATCATTAATGTAACCAAACTCTCTCAAGACAATTATCATGTTTGGAAAGCTCAGCTCATACCTTTCTTCCGTGGACAAGGGCTGTATGGTTACTTGGACGGCACAATTACGATGCCTCCCAAAGAAATCAGTCCTACCCAAACTGATTTCCAATCAGACTCCTCTACGTCAAATCCTCTTTTTGAACATTGGCAACGACAGGATGCCATTGTTCTTGCTGTTCTCTTCTCCACTCTCACCGAGACCGTCCTGGCTCAAGTGGTATCTCACACTACTGCTTCTAGCATCTGGCGAGCCTTGGAAACAAGCTTCTCCTCTCAATCTCGTGCTCGGGCTATTCAATTGCGTATTGACTTAGCCAATGCTCGAAAAGGAGCCTTATCTGCAAGTGACTACTTTATGCAAATTAAGCGCGTGGCAGATGAACTAGCAATTGCAGGTCAAGCACTCAAATGCGATGAAATAATCGCGTATCTCCTTGCTGGACTTGGCAATGATTATGACTCCTTTGTCACTACTATTTCAGCTCGCAGTGAACCGGTCACTTTAGAAGAAGCGTACTCTCTTCTCCTTACTACGGAGTCCCGCTTGTCCCACACAAATCAACCTTTGACTCAAGCATCTGTAAATGTTGCTACTCGCTTGCCTCAGCAAAATCATTCCCGTGGACGTAGTAGCTACTGAAGCAGGGGGCGTAGCATCCGTGCAGGCTTTCACACTCCCAGCTCTTATGGCGGTCGTTGCCAATACAGTCGTGACCCTGTCATCTGCCAACTATGTGACAAACCTTGTCATTCTGCCAAAAGATGCTTCCACAGGTTCGATGTAACCTATAATGACCATGCTGTGAACTCTCGTAATCCTCAAGCACTGGTTGCATTGAGCTCCAATCAACATCCTACTGAATGGCATCCTGATACTGGTGCTACCCACCACCTCTCTCATGACATGAACAACCTCAGTTTGCGTAGTGAAGATTATGATGGTTCTGATCAAATACAAGTTGGCAATGGTACAGGTTTGCGAATCTCTAAAATTGGTTCCTCCCTCATTCCTCATCCTTCTAAACCTTTTACTCTTAATCGAATATTACTTGTTCCCGAAATTCAAAAAAAAATCTTATTTCTGTGCAATAATTTTGTAAAGACAATCATGTCTATTTTGAATTTCATCATAATTCTTTTGTTGTCAAGGACTACTCGGGGAAAATCCTTCATCAAGGCGGGTTTAAAAATGGATTATATTCCTTCTCAACCTCAGTCGGATCTCTTCAACCTCGCTGCTTCTCTGCCATCCGTGCCTCTTATCAACATTGGCATAATCGCCTCGATCATGCATCCTTCGTGGTCAAACAAGCTGTCTCAGCCTTTACATTTCCTGTTGCAAATAAAAACCTTCCAGTCTGCTCAGATTGCCAAAATGCCCGTAGCTGCAGGCTTCCTTTTAGGTCTTCTCATGAAAATTCTAAGTTTTGCTTTAGATTTAATTTACAATGATGTTTGGGGTCCAGCACCAGTTCTTTCAACTACAGGTGCTCATTATTATGTTTCCTTCTTAGATGATTGTACCAAGTTTTTATGGCTATTTCCTTTAAAGATTGAAGTCTGATGTCGAATCTATTTTTCATCAATTTCAAGTATACGTTGAACGCCATTTTGACCGTAAAATAAAAGGCATACAATCCGATTGGGGCGGTGAGTATCGAAAATTAACAAATTATTTAAAAAGCAATGGCATTCAACACCGAGTGGCATGTCCACATACTCATGAACAAATGGGTGCTATTGAACGATAGCACAAACAAATAGTTGAAATGGGTTTATCTATGTTATCTCATTCACACTTGCCAAAACAATTTTCGGAAGACGCCTTTGTCACTACGACCTATTTAATTAATCGTTTTCCTACCCCAATTTTACAAAATAAATCACCATATGAGATGGTTTATCATCACAAACCCGACTATCAATTCATCAAAGTCTTTGGTTGTGCTTGTTGGCCTTATCTTCGTTCCATTAATGAACACAAAATTGATTTTCAATCAAAAACATGCATCTTTATAGGCTACAGTCTAAATCACCATGTTTACAAATGTCTTGGATCTTTCGACAGGAAAAATCTATGTCTCACGCCACGTGATCTTTGATGAAACCTACAGTCCAATAATCAAGCCGGCTACCGTGCGTCTGGTTCTTTCCATGGCTGTCTCACGCGGTTGGTATCTAAGACAGATAGACATCCAAAATGCTTTCTTACATGGTTCCATCCAGGAAGATGTTTACATGGTACAACCACAAGGATTTCAACACCCACAATTCCCTCATCATTTATGTAAACTTAAAAAGTCTTTGTATGGTTTACGACAGGCTCCACGTCAGTGGTTTTCTCGCCTCACAGATGCTATACAGAAATTGGGTTTTATTGGGAGTAAAGTTGATACCTCTCTTTTCATCTACAAGTCAAACTCACACACTATTTTTCTCCTCATCTACGTGGATATTATAATTACGGGGTCTGATGTGCAAACTGTGACTGACCTAATTGATGCTCTTCATCAAGAATTTGCAGTGAAAGACTTGGGAAATTTAACCTTTTTTTTGGTGTTGAAGCATTGCATACTGACGATGGTCTCTATCTCATGCAATGGAAGTATGTTGTGGACTTGCTAAAACGATCTAAGATGGACAGAGCTAAACCATGTATCACGCCTATTTCAACAACTTCGAAAATATCAATAAATGATGAAGGTGATTTTGAAGACCCTTCTCTCTATCGAAGTATTGTAGGAGGCTTACAATACCCTTCCGTCACTAGACCAGATATTGCTTACTCCGTCCATCGAGTAAGTAAATTCATGCATCAACCCAAGATAACACACTGGCAAGCTGTAAAGAGAATCCTAAGGTTTCTAAAACATACAGTATCTCACGGTTTATTCATTTCTCGCCACTCTCCTCTTCAATTTCAAGCCTTCTCGGATGCTGACTGGGCTGGTGATCGAGATGATAGGCGATCTGTTGGAGCCTACTGTGTTTTTCTAGGAAACAATATGGTATCTTGGCGCTGTAAGCAACAGGTCACCGTGGCACGCAGTAGTACAGAGGCTGAATACAAGGCCTTAGCCAATGCCAGCTGTTGAACTCCTCTGGCTCCAATCTCTTACACAGGAACTTGGTATCTCCGTACTCAACCCTCCAGTGTTGTGATGTGACAATATTGGTGCAACCTACCTCACTTCCAATCCAGTATTCCATGCTCGGACAAAGCACATCGAGATCGACTTTCACTTTGTTCGTGATTTGGTAGCTCGAAAACATCTGCTTGTCAAGTTCATTTCAAGCAAAGACCAATTGGCTGATCTTCTTACAAAACCTTTATCTCCTACATGCTTTCGGCTCTTGTGTGACAATCTCAGTGTTCGAGATCTTCCTCTGAGATTGCGGGGGCGTATTGAAGAACAAGTCCAAGAAAGTTCAAATACCATAGATGCAGTTCCTGAAATATAGGAATCAGATAATGGAAGATCCTTTCAACAACCTTCTGTTTGTATTTGAATTTAAAATAGCAAAGTTATAGGATTGGATTAGGTATTTCTATTTTACTGAACATGTATAAATAGCACTCATGTATATGTATGTGATAATGAGAAAAATAAATTCTTTTACAATCAACTATGTATTCTTCATCTCTGTTGTCCTCGACGTCACATGCTGCTGATGTTCTAAAATGTAGGGTAAGTAGAAAGATGGGAGAGAGCTTGAGGGAGATCATGTGAGATTTATATATGTGATGGCATTTGTATCTAGTTATATATATATTTGCCCAAAATGCATTTTGGAATAGAATTTTGATTGAAAATGTGTGGTTAAAAAATAAAGAAAAGTTTTGATTTTCTATTATTTTATTAAAAAATGTGATTAAAAATAGGAGAGAATAGTATATTTTGAAAATAATGAAAACCAAATAACGATCTAGTACATAAAATTTATGAGGGCCCACTTGCTAAGTTGAAGTTGTCAAGCCTCCTTAATGAGAGACCTAGATTCTTGCCTAACTATTATTGAGAAAATCATATAGTAAAATTGAGGCTTATTGACCTCTCATCAATTTAAGGCGCAAGAATTTGCTAATGCAAAGAAAAAGAACATAAATTTAGGTGGTCACACTTACTATACACACACTACAATCAGATAGACACAAACATCAGCTTAAAAAAATCTTAAAAATTGTTTAACTCTTTATCGGATTCCAATTTAAACTCATTTTTATCTGAGTCGCCTTTCGTGCCATTTGAGGTAAAATCATCTTCATCGAGCTCCCTTATTTCAACTCGAGAATTTCTATTACTTCGTGTAGATAGTAGGATATCATTATTAATCAACCATCAACAATTCAAGATTTTTCATTACTAGCATCCACTTGCTAGTAAAATTAGAGAAAGACC